TTTCTTTTTCTTTTTTCCTGCAGATTTCTGGAGTATCATCAGCTTGCAATTTGGCGCTGAAGGAATTACGCAGATGGATGAAGCCAGAAAAAGTAACTACTCGGATTTTAATTCGGAGCATTAAACGAACTGTTATGGTTTTCTTGTTTTATTCAATAACAAAAGTCTTATGATGCTAATTTGTTGTGAACTTCAGGTGAAAACTTCAATGGCTACATTTCCATCGTCGGGCCAAATAGTATCCGAACCTCTGGGTGTCGTATTGGTTATATCGGCTTGGAACTATCCTTTCCGTATGTTGATTATATTGTTTTATAGTCTCATGTGATTATCTAATTTTTTTCTCAGTTAGCAAAGCTCCATGTAGATGCCGAAAATCAGAAATTGGTAGTGTTTGGTAATGATACGCCGTAAAAAGTCGACTCATTACTTTTAGAGATGATATATTTGAAATTCGAGCAAAGTACCTTATTCCTGACCAGAAGCTTGAAATCACAGTTTTTCTTTTTAATCTTTATTTCTAATTTTTAAGTGATTGTGAACAATCCCTAAGTGGCATGTTTTATTGTATTTTCCAGTCTCACTTAAATTATGCTTTATTTTTTCTCCTTCAAAAGGATTATCACTCGAACCAGTAATTGGAGCTATTGCTGCTGGTAATGCTGTTGTTTTGAAGCCATCTGAAGTGGCTCCGGCAACATCCTCGATTTTGTTTAAACTTGTAAGAGAATATATGGACACATCGGCTGTGAAAGTTGTTGAAGGTGGTATAACTGAAACAACTGCACTTCTTGATCAAAGATGGGATAAAATATTTTATACAGGTAATAACAAGTCTTTGTTATATCTTGTATTGTGTAATCCATTTACCTCAGAGAAGGTGGTTTTTTAATCTCCATATTATCTTGAAGTTCTCTCTGTTATCGCGTGAAAAAAAAAAATAAAAGAAAAAAATTGTCCTGTTTTTATCAGGAAGAACAGAAGATTGCAATGTCAAAGGTTTTCTTCTCGACAATATTTTTAATATTTTTACCAGTTATTCTTTGATTCTTTCATATATTACCAATATAGAAATGTAGAATATAAGAAAATGAGGTGCGTATAGATATATATGAATGGTCAAAAGTAAGAATATGCTGGAGTATGTTCAATAATTTTGGAGAATTTTCTTATTAACAAACTTCATAAAGCTTTGGCAACCATTTGTGTTTTCTGCTTAAATAGAATGTCACTTTTTAGCCCCCAAAATATTGCCTAAACTATTCTCATGTATGAGAAAGCAGAGCTGGAGATATTTCTGCACCGAGAGTCGCATTAATCCATTTTGGTTCTTTTATTAAAATGTTTGCTAGAACTCCAATGTTCTTTTGGCGACGAAATGCCCATATTTTGCTTAAAATAGTAAATGATATTTTTTTTTTTGAATTTTATTGCAACAAAATCCACAGGAAATGGCAGAGTTGGACGTGTTATATTAACTGCAGCTGCAAAATATCTAACGCCCGTGGTTTTGGAGCTTGGTGGGAAATGTCCGGTTGTGGTTGATTCAAACATCAACCTTAAAGTAAGTCTCTGTATTTAGCATATCTAAGTTGCCAAAAAGCTCGTCGACATTTGCTAATCTATTTACAGTTTTCACTTTTTTTATAAAAGACCCGTTTGCTAAAAGAAAAATACAAACATAGACAAGGTTTTGTGTGATTTCAAAAGATAGTTGTTTCATTTTTCTTTTAGCATCATTTGAAGTTGTTGTGCTTTTCGGAAAGGTTGCTGCAAAAAGATTAATTGCGGGAAAGTGGGGTTGCAACAGTGGACAAACATGTGTTTCGCCTGATTATGTAGTGACTACAAAACAATTTGCCTCATCATTGGTAAGGAATTGCGTGTTTTTTGCAGGATTATACTACCTCTTCATCTTTTCCCAAAACATTCATCTCTATCTTCATTAAAAAGGGTATTTATTGGCAAAAAAAATAAAAAAATTCTTAATTATTGTGAAACTTATCAAAACGACACTTACATGAATAGGAGAGAATATTATAGCATCATTAAGTTTTTTTATAATCAATCAAATTATAGGTGAACGCTATTTCAACCGAACTGGAGAAATTCTACGGGAAGGACCCTTTGCAATCAAATGACTTGTCGAGCATTATAAATTCACGCCATTTTGACCGCTTAGCAAAGTTATTGGATGACGAGAAGGTTTCTGGTAAGGTAGTTGTTGGAGCTCAACGA